GTTTACCCATTGTAACAATGAGATGTACAAGACACTATGTTGAAAATGAATTTTACAACTTTTGGGGGTGAGGGAGGAGTTAGGAAGGTGAGGAAGGAAGGGATAAAGGGGAAAAACAAAGGAGGAGATAACAATGCTTGATAGGAAATGGACTCATTACCTTACTCATGGAACTGTAACCACTATGTACAGTATCTTTACTATAAACTATATAATAAAATAGTAGAATAACAAGTCAGGAGCCAGTGGCTCACACCTGCAATCCTAGCTAATCAGGGGACTGAGATCGGAGGATAACAGTTCTAATCAGGGGACTGAGATCTGAGGATCACAGTTCGAAATCAGTCTGGGCAGGACTGTCTTATCTCCAATTAACTTAAAGCAAGCACATAAACAAACAAAAAGAAAACAAAACAGAAGTAAAGCTGTGGCTTAAATGGTAGAGCTCTAGCCTTAAGCACAAAACCATGAGGGTAGCACCTAGGCACAGAATTCATTCAAGCCTCAGGAACAAAAGAAATAAAAACACAAACATAAAACAGCAGACAACATCTTGTTTTCCCAAAGGATAATGCTTGGTTTCCAGGCAATAGGATATTCAGGGACTAATGTGAACTTTCTAGTCCAGTCTGGTACTCTGCTTTATGAGGGAGCAGTTATCAACTTAATTAATGGTGCTTGTTTCTTGCTCTGAATTTTTGGGACTGAGAACACAGGCTTAGATGTGGAGAGGTGGAAGGAGATGATGGATTAATACTAACTCAAACTGGGAGTCCAGCCAGACACCCAGCTGCAAGTTTCCCATTTATACTTCTTAATGTGTGACCAATTTAATTGTTAGCTTTTAAAAACACAAGTAATTAGTTAATGTAGTCTCTTCTATGTCAAAAGGTGTTAAGCATATGTATGCTTGTGTACATGTGTGTGGTCTGTGTGCTTGGATGCAGGGGCGGGTCATGGGCACTTTTAAGGGGTGTATGTATGATATGGATATATATGGGGGAGGTATGCTGTGGTTGGGCAGGATGGGTTTTTATTGTCAGTGTATGTGTGTGAGCACAAATATGAAGGCATGTGGGTATGTTGGTATGTGTATGTGCATGTGGTTATGAGGGTATGGGGTTATTGGCAGATAAATATGTGTGGGTGAGTATGCAGGTATGTGTTTTGATATGGATATATGCGAGTGTAGGTTTGTAAATGTGTGTTAGGATGTGCATCTGTGACAAGGTATGGGGTGTGGGGTTGTGCAATTGTGTGTATGTGTGCATTGGAGTAGAGGGTATGCATTTGTGTATGTGTATACATGATTATGAGAGGTTAGGTTTGTAATTATGTATAAGAGATGTATTGTGAAGGGGTATGGAAATGTACAATGTGTGTGTGCATGTGCATGTGCATATGTGTATGGGAGTAGAAGTGTGTGTGTGTGTGTGTGTGTGTGTGTGTGTGTGTGTGTGTGTGTGTGTGTGTGTGTGTTTGCTGGATGTTAGATGAACGTTCACTTAGAAACTGTTTCTAAGGTTTCCTCAGTTTTCTGTTGACTTTCAGAGCTCCTGTCTGTGTCAGCAGTTTTCTATTTGATTAGGAATCTGTTCTAAATATTCCGCACTGAAGGTGGGAAGGCAGCCTATTGGGAATGAGGAAGGCATTCTGCAGAACTTTGACAGCCATGGTGCTCCCTGTTGCTATCAGTGGACAGCCCTGGGCTCCTGAATAAAGGCTACTGGCCACATTGCTCTCCCTACTCATCATGATGATGCAAGATTCCTAGGAAATCTAAGTATAGGAGTTTGCCTATTAAAACACATTTTCTTTGATGCCCATTTTTAGGTTAGGACAGCTGAAATGAGTTTCTGTCCTCTTTTATTCCCAACAATTTAGGCAGTGGAATATTTAATCCTTACAGGAAAGGATTAAGGAAATACTTCCTGACATCCAAGAACTTCGGCTTGATTGGCCAGTTTGCAAAACTGTTGGTGTCAGTATTTAATAACCTGTCCCTACCTAAACTTTTCAGGATTTAAATGACTCAGTGCTGTACATATTTAAGAGGGAGGTGGTAACATATTAGACATCTAAGCCATTATTACATAGGAATCCTTGTCTAGAAGGACAGGGTGTGTTTGTCTTAATATCATTAAATTTCTACTATCTCGTGATGTCCTTTTCAAATATCAAGACTTAAAGTAGCTTCTGGGAAATACTTTGTCATGTTCTGCAACTTTGGAAATGGGCTCACAAGGCCTGTGAGTTTTGCCAAACATGTTAAATTGTAGAGATTTACATCATTGGTAGTTTTGTGATTCCAATTTCTCTGTCTCTCTCTGTCTCTGTCTCTCTTTTTCTTTCTCTCTCTCTATGTGTGTGTGTGTGTGTGTGTGTGTGTGTGTGTGTGTGTGTATATATATATATATATATTTCAATTCTTAAATCTTTTAATGAGAGATAATCAAAGTTAAGGGTTTTGTTTTTGGTTTTGCTTTTATATATTTATTTTTCTAGTACTTGGGTTTGAACTCAACCTTATTTGGCATGTGTGTCTTAGTTTAGCTGGTGCTACCACATGAGCCATATCTATAGCCCAGATTCTTTCTGGTTCTTTTGAAGACAAGACCTCAAAAACTTTTCTATATCTAATCTGACTCCAAACTTGGGATCTTGGCCTTCCAAGTGGCAAAAATTAAAGAAGCAAGATGCTGGTGCCCAACAAAGTTATTTAACTTTAAGAGGGTGCTGTTATCCTGCCCAATAAAATGGCATTAAAAATAATTGTACAGTTTCCTTTGAGCTGGAATTTGTACATGTAAAAGATACATTCAGTTTCTTTTCTGTACTGGTTCATGCAATTATATTTGCATTATACATAATATTATGATTATATAATATATATTGCAATTGTATAGTTGTATGTAATTGCAATAGCAACTCTTTTGTGTGTGTGTGTGTGTGTGTGTGTGTGTGTGTGTGTGCATGTGTGTGTGTGTATGTGTGTTGTGCTGATTCAACACTGGACTTCATGTAAATGCTTTACCACTTGACCAATGTTTCTAGCTCTTTTGTTCAGTAATTGGTATATTTTTTGGAAGCTGATGTTATATATTATTTATTCATTTATCTATTTATAGTTTTTTTTTTACTTTTTATTATCCTTAGTTGTACAAAGGGATTTCACCTCCACATGTCAGTTTTAAGTTTGTACTTGCTTTTGAGAGAAAATATCTCTAACTACTTGTGTGGGCCTTAAAATTCTGATCTTCCTGCCTCAAGTCTCTAAGTAGTTGTTTTAAAAACATGCATTGCCTAAGTTATAACACATATACAAACATATTGTACTAATAAAAATTATAATGGCTTGATACATTCTTTAAAAACTGTTATAATTACTCAGCATATTGTAAAGATAATTTGTATTACTGGATGGTACATATTTATACTCACAATTTTCATTGAATATACCTTAATCTCCACCAAAAGATTTACTTTGTAGTTCATCATAAATAATACCTAATACTATGTAATTTACAGCATGGCAATGCTGTCTGCAAACATTATTTTGTTTTTTTTCTTGTGAGTCATGGGCCTTGAACTCAGCCTGGGCGCTGTGCCTCAGCTCTTCAGCTCAGGGTTAGCACTCTACTACTTGAGCCACAGCACCACTTCCGATTTTCTGGTGTTTTATTGGAGATAAGAGTTTCATGCCCTGCCCGTGCTGGCTTTGAACTACAATCCTCAGATCTCAGCTTCCTTCGTAGCTAGGTTTACAGATGTGAGCCACTGGTGCCCAGCTTGTTTTGCTTTTTGTAAACAAGAAACTATATTTGGCTTCAAAACAAAAGGAACCTTGAGACATTGTCAAAATTATGAGTTTTTACCTGTCGTAAGCTATTTCAGAAGAACCATCAGATGCACACATAATTCAAATCGTCTCTTCCTTGCTTGTAAATACTTAGTCTGCATAGTCCTTATAGAGCAGGGATTGAAAAAAAGAACTCATTCCCAAGAAAGAGAATGGTATTTATGCCTGGAAAGTGATAACATAGCTAAACATAGCTAAACATTTCTCCACATATGTGGAGAAATGGAGCAATGTGATAATCCCTGCACTGAAGATTCGGGAAGACAAGGGTTACATCAATGGTTGTTTGCAGTCAAGGAGATGAATGTAAATGGAGCAGGCAATAGGCACAATGTTTACCCCTTCTGCAATTCTATGGTGAATGAATTACATCAAGATGCCTGTTTTAAAGCACAGTAACACTGAGTTTTCTAATTGAATATTACAGGATATGGGACAAGTGTCCATATACCACTCTTGTGCCAATTATCTGTGAGATTTTTTTATGTTAGATTCATAAACTAATAGCTGAATTATTGTTTCCATTGTGGAAGGAGAAAGAATCTGATTTTGAAACTTGATAATGTTTTAATGATTATTTCTTAGGTGCATATTCATTCATTTCCAAAATTAATGATTTTTGTAGTGGCTCAGTCCCAGTATCAATGGAGACCTAGTGTGAATCTCTCCTGTGTTGAGATTGGCAGTGTGTAGTTCAAACCTCAAGTCACAAACATGATGGCTTTGAGGACAGAGACAAAGATTGTCCTAAAGCATGCTTTCCAATGACCTTGGCTTACTGCTATGTTACCAACAGCTTGTCATTTCTTAGATTAGAATATACAACATGATAATGAAAGGATATAGGAAATAGAAAACTTACGATTCTACAGCATGTCCAAAATACTCGTGATATGGACTAGGTTTTTCAGTTTAGAAATTTAATAACTAAGTAATTGTTTTTATTTTGACAGAAAACTGACTGAACTTTAATTTTAAAAGTATAAAATATTTCATTAATTGTAAGATTTGAATCCTCCCTGCTACCAAAGTTTTTCAGGTTCTTTTTTTCTTCTTTTTCAAGAAAAAAAGCCCAACCCAGAGGATGAAAATGTACACAAAACTAGAAACATTAACCACTCTTAAAAATCCTGTTTTTCAGGAAAGAACGGTGACGATCAGAAGACAGACAGTGGGAGGATTTGGACTGAGCATCAAGGTAGTCCCTTTTCAGTCTGTATTTAGCAAGGCTGAGCCTCAAGGCCAGATTTATGTCTATTCTATTGTTTTCTGGTTCATAACAAGACAAGGATGGCTATGAAGCAATCTTCTTAATACTCAGTGTGGATTGTAAATTAGGTACATTCTCATGGAACTATAGATACCTTTAGCTTTTTTTTCACATATTTTAAGAATGGTTTTGGGAGCTTCACCATACCTGTTATTGAATATAAAATATTAGCTTTTTATCTGGTTTCTTTTAAAATATTTGATATATTACATGTTTTCCTTCAATCCATCAGTGTATGAAATGCTGTTCCAGAATGAATGAAACAAGAGCTAAGATTCATGTTACTATAGCTGATAGCCAGCATGGTCATATGCTGTTGAATTCATTGCATCATGTTCATTTTTTAAATTTGTTTGGCCTTTATTAAAGAAATCCTTATAGCTCTTCTTTCAATGTAAAGTTTATTTATTGTAATATTGCAAGAGATTTATTGTTGAATCTGATTTGACCACTGGAGATGGACTACAACAGCAGTATATCCTCAATGAAATAAGAGAATTTTTAAAAGGAGAGGACATTATGTAAAAATTGAAGGGTGAGTTTAAAAACCTTAATGCCCTTAGCAAACTTACATCTCTGTGTTCATAAGCAAAAGTTGACTTCTTTTAGGCATCCTTGTTTGGGCATTTTCTTACATAGGGTGAATAGGTTTCTACATCTCCAAGACACATATAAAAAAATCTTAATTGGATTTAATTCTGTATGGTCAAAAGGTAGGACTTTTCATGAAAATCAATCAACTCTAGTCAACTTTGTGGAAATGAGCTAAAATAGATATCAATGTGCAATTATAATGTCAATGATGAGACTGTTACCTAAGCATTATTTTGTCAGCAGTGAGAATGTTACCTCTGAAGCGTTTAGTTTACAAATATATTTTGTATTTATTCTACTTGTTACTCAGACCAAAAAGTGACAGGACAAATGAAGGTGTTGTGACAAGTCCTGCTAGGGAAATTATATCACTCTGCACATAGTTTTTGCTTTGATTTTCATAGTTTCTTTCTTTTTATCTTAACCACAAGGTTTATTGAGGGTATTGTGAAGTATTTTAAAGGTAATATGAAAGTTACTAGAAAATCCAAGACTCAAACCTAATAGTTAATGGTCAGTTCGTTTATTTGAGACTTCTGTTTCCTGACTGGCTCGGATGCCATTTCAGAAGAGAATCCATTGCTGTTTGTTCCTTCTGCTATCTACTTAAAGTTGATACCCTGTAACACAATTGCACTGAAAGTCCACAGTTAAATTATTTATAAAAGTTAACTGTTTTTTTTGAAAGCATCACAAATTTTTTTACTTGATAATTTCAATCTAGTAAGTTCACCATTTTGATTCATATTTACCACTCGTAATGTTGGCTACAGATGTGATATTTGAACTATGACAAGTGCCACACAATATATTATAACCAGAAAATAAATGATGTTATTTTTATTTAGAATTAATTTGGTTTATTGATTTATCAGTCCCTACTTTGGATTTCTTAGTACTCATGTCTCATTTTTAGTATTATGCTTTCCTTTCCTGTTATGTGTGTGTGTGTGTGTGTGTGAGACACAGAGAGAGAGAGAGAGATAGAGAGAGAGAGAGAGAGCACTGTTGATCCACTTCTGTTTTGTGGTGGTTAATTGGAGATAAAAATCTCTAGGACTTTTCATGCTGCAGATCTCCACCTTCTGAGCAGCTAGAAATACAGGCATGAGCCACCAGCAGCCGGCTCAAAGTTTTCTTTTCTATTTTTAAAACTATTTTTCATTTTGGTTATGTAGATCAAATTTGTAATTTTTTAAAATTTTAAATAATCTTGCTTTACAGTTTCCTTTTTGGTCATATGTTAATAGGTAAATTATTATGTTCAATAGTACTGTTTTCTTTAAGTCTGAGAATTTAGAAATTTATATCTAATGAACATTTAGAATTCAGTATAGGCTCAGTGAAGAATTAACATTTTAATGTCAAATCATTAATTTATTTCAGGAGCAATTTGAACTAATGATATAGCTATGTCATAAATATATAAAAAAAATTTAACATTAATTGTTCCAGTTAAGTACTACTATACATGTGGGAGGGTTTTTTTATTATTTTTATTGTAAAGATACTGTACAGAGGGGTTACAGTTATATGAGTAAGGCAATGAGTACATTTCCTCTTGAGCATTGTTGCCCCCTCCTTTGTTTTTAGCCAGCCATCTCTTCCCTCCTCACCTCTCCAACTTCTCCCTGCTCCCTCCCCCCACTGCCCCTGCCCAGGTTGTAGAATTTTTTGTTTATTGTGAAAATACTGTACAGAGGGGTTACAATTACATGGGCAAGATAATGAGTACATTTCTTATCAAGCATTGTAGCCTCCTCCTTTGTTTCCCCTCTGTTTTTAACAAAGTGTCTTGTATATCTCATAATTGCAATGGGTCTGCCTGTATATTTGTTTTAGCATTTTGTTATTTCCTTTCCCCTCTCCAAATTAGAAAAATGCATAAACAAGATGCAGGGTACGAAAATCAAGTACAGTGAAAATAGGAATTATATCAATAGGGAAGAACATACAAAAGAAATAAAAAGATCACATAGTACATTATAAGTACATTAAAAACAACAACAGCAACAAAAATAAAACCTCTTGTGTTTCTGTCTTGGGGTTCATTTTGCTTAGCACCATCTTAAATGGTCGTATGTGCATAGCTTTTGACCTTTTCTGCTTATCTGGTAAGATTATCCTAGACATAAACTAGCTATTGCAAATAAGGGAAACCATGGGACCTATGTCATTCCATTTCCTAACAAATGGGGTAATGTCATTCTTTCTGGAGCTAAAAAAATACAATGGAAGAAAGACGGCCTATTCAGTAAATGGTGCTGGCAAAATTGGCTAACCACCTGTAGAAAACTAATGGATCAAGAAAATGTGGTATATATACAGAATGGAATTCTTTGCCTCCATCAGAAAGAAGGACATTGCCCCATTTGTTAGGAAACGGAAATACTTGGAAAAAATTATATTAAGTGAAGTAAGCCAGGCCCAAAGAAACATAGGTCCCACAGTTTCCCTTATTTGCAATAACTAGTATACATCTGAGACAAGCAGAAACGGTCAGATAAGTTGATGCTAGGCAAAATGAACCCCAAGATAAGGACTCAAATGGTTTTTCTTTCTTGCTATTGTTTCTAACATATTTATAAGATGATTTCTTTGTTGCTTTGTATGTCCTTCCCCCACGGTATAAGCCCTGCTTTCACTGTATTTGATGTTGGTATAATTTGTGGAGGGGAAGGGAAAAAAACCAATTGTTTAAATAGGGATACAGGTGGACCCATTGCAACAATGATTTGTGCTAGTCATTATGTTGAAAAATGAACTTTACAACTTGGGGGGGGGGGTGAAGGAAGGATGGAACGGGATGAGAAGGGGAAACAAAGAAGAAGGCACAATGCTTGCTTGATAAGAAATGTACTCATTACTACGCTCATGTAATTGTAATCACTCTGTAAAGTATTTTCACAATTAAAAAAAAAGAAAAAAAAACTAAAGCTAGGTCCTTAAATATCACCTTGGACCAGGATCAACCCCGAAAGTATTAAAGACCTCAAAGTAAAACCGATAACCTGAAAACATTACAAGAAAGAATAGGAGAAACTGGGCTGGGAAGGTGGCTCAGTGGTAGAGTGCTTACCTTGCATGCATGAGGCCCTGGGTTCGATTCCTCAGCACCACATAAGCAAAAAGAAAAAAGCCAGAAGTGACGCTGTGGCTCATGTGGTAGAGCGCTAGCCTTGAGCTGAAGAGCTGAGGGACAGCACCCAGGCCCAGAGTTTAGGCCCCACGACCAGACTCAAAAAAAAAAAAAAAAGAATAGGAGAAACTCTAGGGCTCCTTGGCACAGGCTGAAATTTTCTTAATGGAGACCCAGAAACATAAAAAATCAAAGAAAGGTTGGACAAATGGGATTGTTATGCAGAGCTTCTGCATGACAAAGGGTATAGCTAGCAAGATCAATAGAAAGCCCACAGATTGTGAGATCTTTACTAGCCATACAACAAATAAGGGCTGCATATCTATAATATACTTAGAACTCAAAAAAGTAAATCCTCCAACAATAAATATTCAACGAAATAACCACCTGATTAATAAGTGGGCTAAAGACTTAAAGAGAGACCTCTCTGAAGAGGAAATAAGAACAGCCAATGGACGTATGAAAAAAATCTCAACTTCTCTAGTCATAAAAGAAATGCAAATCAAAACAACACTGAGATTCCACCTCACCCCATTTAGAATGGCTATAATCAAGAACTCTAATAACAACAGATGCTAGAGGGGATGTGGACAAAAGGGTACCCTATTACACTATTGGTAGGAGGATAAACTTGTTCAACTACTTTGGAAAGCAGAATGGAGTTTCCTAAAAAGACTCCACATAGAGCTCCCCTATGAACCAGCAATCCCACTTTTGGGCATTTACCCAAACGATCACAAACAAGATCATACTAAAACTACCAGCACACCTATGTTTATCACATCATTATTCACCATAGCTAAGATCTGGAACCAACCATATGCCCCTCAGTAGATGACTGGATCAAGAAAATATGGTATTTGTGTGTATATGTGTGTGTGTGTGTGTGTGTGTGTGTGTGTGTGTGTGTGTGTACACATACACACATGTGGGAGGTTTTGTCATAAGAAGTATTAATTAAACTCTTATGGTCTCATTAGAGATGGAAGGAAGGTGTTAAATAACTGAGAAGAAATTCACTGATAGTCAAGATTCCAACAGATCTTAGGGTAAATATTTAATTGACTCAGAAAACAGAGACACTCAGTTTAAATTTCCAGAATCCCTTTCATTTTGTTCTGTGTCATTAGTGGGGTTTGAACAGGGAACCTGAATTCTGTCCCCTATCTTTTCACTAGTGCTCTACCACTTGAAC